CTGAAGAAGGATCTAGGCCTGAAACGTCAGCCTTCCTGCTCCTCTGATGCTGCTTGGCCTGCTGTGTTCATCCAGCTCTACACCTTGCTATCTCAGATTCTCCAGCATCTGCAGTTCCTACTATCTCTGAAGTGATTTACTCTATCTCTGACAGATCTACACAATAAAGAACTGTCACGAAGGAGTACAGCACCGCATTTCTGAGGGAGCCCTAAGTGGCGGCATCTCTCTGAAACACTGAGTTCCCTCTGCTTATATTTTAAAAAAAAAGGTCCCAAGCGTCAGTCTGTGTGAGGCTATCAGTCCCCAGAGCGGCCCAGCCTGTTGACATGGCTATTCTGTAATTGGGTATGTAGGCACCATTTCACCATTCACACATGGGACTAAGCTCAGAAATGTAAGAATGAGAAAAAAGATGATCGATTTCAGAAAGCAAGCTGGTGAAGCGGGCAGCCAGGAAAAGAAATTAACACGTGGGAGAGAATGCATCTTGGGAGGGAGAAAGAAGAGAGTCAAACAGCAAAATAAATGTTTTAAAGTTGATGCAGGAGTAGTGAGCTTTGTGTGTGTGTATATGCACATCAGTGAAAATAATAGGGTAAATTTAAAAAGTCTGCTTCTAAAAAAGGATATGAGCGCTGTGTTTCTATTAATAGAGACATGGCTTAATGTGGTATGTAGAGTTCATATTTCTTGTCTTGAGATGACAGCCTCCTTCACAGTGCCATCCCTAATAACCAGAGGGTTGTGTTGGGAAGAAGGGACATGATGGTTTAAGACAGTGCAGCTCTCTGGACTTGGCTAGCTATTGCCACTTCTCTATTGTGCGGTCTTTTGTTGAAACGTTTCTTCCTGCTAACAGTATGAACGTCCCGGGGCATCACCGAAGAGAAACCATGATGGGGAGTTCACAGCCACACAGAGTAAGTCACGTTGCTTTGTTTGCTCAGTCTTTCCAGCAGGCAGCATCTCAAATGAAGCTGCTAGAATGTGACAGAATGTGGAAAATGTACATTGTTGTGCTGTCACCTTGGCCTTGTAGTGTCTGATGGCGGCTCCTGTTATCATGCCCTTGGACATTGTTTCAATATGGTGCAAGGGGAGCAGGTTACTGGATATCCCCCTTTGTATGAGACCTCCTCAAGGGATATTGACAATACTCTCTCTACCTTGGACTATCAGAGTGTGTCATCAACTCAGTCCCAATTTATACTTACTGAGTTACTCACTCCTAAGCCCCGTGAGATGCTGAGTGGGGGGATGGGGTGAGGTTACATGGCCTTGTTTAAGGGTTTGGGTTGGGGGTGAGAAATGGAGGCTGATTAAAAGCATGAGTGAGTCGGTGAGTGTTTACATCTGCCTAGTAGTTGAATGATCACAGGCTGAGTGATCGGGGAGGTGATGGGGAGGGGAGCTGATCAGTGCCAGCTCAGGAGTGACAGTGTGTGAGCAAGAGGTTGTAGGGAAAGTGATGGCTGCAGAGGGAGGAGGAAGGAGGTATTTGGGTGCAACCTGGCTGCCTTGAGTTGCCCATGTCACTGTTTAATATGATTGCAGCCTGCCATCAGATTGATATAGTGGAACTGAAGGATTTGGAGAAGGAATTTGTGTTGGCCCGCACACGGCTACTACTCGCAAAACACGACCCAGCCTCAGCAGCAATAGCAGGTGAGAACCAGAAGCAATTTACTGAAAAACTGGATAATCTCAGCTCTGTGGCTTCAGTCTGCATGTTATTGATATTGCCAAAGTTTCTCAATATGTTGCCAACTATCCTAAAAGATTGTGTCCATTTTAAAGACAGCATAAAATTTGTAATGTAATCATGTCTGTACTGGACATGACAATAACCAAATACTGACATTAGATTTAGCACCAAAAGTACTCTAAGAGTCATAGAGATGTACAACATGGAAACAGACCCTTCAGTCCAACTCATTCTTGCTGACTAGATATCCTAAACTAATCTAGTCCCATTTGCCAGCATTTGGCCCATTTCCCTCTAAACCTTTCCTATTCATATACCCATCCAGATGCCTTTTAAATGTTTTAATTGTATCAGCCTCCACTACTTCCTCTGGCAGTTCATTCCATACACACACCACCCTCTGCGTGAAAAAGTTGCCCCTTGTGTCCCTTTTTAAACCTTTTTCCTCTCACCTTAAACCTATGCCCTGCAGTTTTAGACTCCCCTACCTGGGGGAAATGACCGTATCCATGCCCCTCGTGATTTTATAAACTTCTATAAGGTCACCCCTCAGCCTCCGACGCTTCAGAGAAAATAGCCTCAGCCTATTCAACCTCTCCCTATAGCTCAAACTTCCAACCCTGCCACACCCTTGTAAATCTTTTCTGAACCCTTTCAAGTTTCACAACGTCCTCCTACAGCAGGGAGACCAGAATTGAAGGCAGTATTCCAGAAGTGGCCTAACCAATGTCCTATACAGCTGCAACGTGACCTCCCAACTCCTATACTCTATGCGCTGACCAATAAAGGCAAGGATACCAAACGCCGCCTTCACTATCCTATCTACTTGGGACTCCACTTTCAAGGAACTATGAACCTGCACTCCGAGGTCTCTCTTTGTTCAGCAACACTCCCCAGGACTCTACTATTAAGTGTATAAGCCCTGCCCTGATTTGCCTTTCCAAAATGCAGCACCTCGCATTTATCTAAATTAAACTCCATCTGTCAAACCTCGGCCCACTGGCCCATCTGATCAAGGCCCCGTCGTACTCTGAGGTAACCTTCTTTGCTGTCCACTAATGCCACAAATTTTGGTGTCATCTGCAAATTTAATAACCATATGTTCATATCCAAATCATTTATATAAATGACAAAAAGCCGTGGACACAGCATTGATCCTTGTGGCACACCGCTGGTCACAGGCCTCCAGTCTGAAAACCAACCTTTCACCAACCTCTGTCTCCTGCCTTCAATCCACTTTTCTATCCAGATGCCTAGTTCTCCCTGTATTCCATGTGACCTAACCTTGCTAACCAGTCTACAGGGACCCTTCACGGACTGTTCCCATTCTTCCACTGTAGTTTGGACTGGCGAAGGTGTAACACCTGCGCATTTACCTCCTTCCTCCCCAGAATCCAAGGGCCCAAACATACCTTTCAGGTGAAGCAACACTTCACCTGCACTTCCAAGAATCTAGTCTACTGCATTCGCTGCTCACAATGTGGTCTCCCCTACATTGGGGAAACGATGCGTAGACTTGGCGACCGCTTCGCAGAACATCTACGTTCTGCTCGCAGAAAAGACCCTGAACTACCTGTTGCCTGCCACTTCAATGCACCACCCTGCTCTCTGGCCAACATCTCTGTCTCCGGCTTGCTACAGTGTTCCAGTGAAGTCCAACGCAAGCTGGAGGAACAACACCTCATTTTCCGCTTGGGGACCCTACAGCCCTCCGGACTCAATATTGAGTTCAATAATTTTAGGGCCTAAACTCTCCCATGTTCCAGCCCCCCACCCCACACACCAGGCCTTGTTACCACGTAGCCTGCCATTACACACCCCCTGTTGTTAGTCACTAACAGTCGCCATTAACAACTACTCGCCCTCCCAGCCTGATCGTTAGCAACTCCTTTGTCTGTCCAACTGTCTTTCTCTCTCTTTGGGCTCTATCCTATCGTTTACTCCCTATCCCACCCATTTCCCTATTTTCTGCATATTCCCAGCCACCATCAGTTCTGAGGAAGGGTCACCAGACCCGAAACGTTAACTCTGTTTTCTCCTCCACAGATGCTGCCATGCTGAGCTTTTCCAGCAACTTTGTTTCGTTGTTGTAGTTTGGACCTAGTGCTCCTATGTGAAGCTCATTTGATGTGTCAAAGACCCCAGTCAGTCATTTCTCACTTAATCCAATACAGGCTCCAGCTCCCAGAATCTGAGAGATGAAGAGATTATTAATGCCTAATCTAAAATGGACTATGGGACTTTCCTGGTTTATAGCACATCACAAGCTCACCATTTACAGTGAGGGTCTGAAAAGATTTATTGTGTGGATTTGGCTATCACTGGCTAAGCCAGCATTTATTAGCTCGCGTTACTTCCTCTATGCTGCTGAGTGACTTGATGAAGCCCTTCTGAAGACCTTTTTGGAGCGAGCCACATGGAGTATAATTGGAGTCACTTATAGGATCAACCAGATAAAAACAACAGGTTTCTTTTCAAAAGCCCAGTTCTGAACTGGTGGGTTTTTGTTTGTACACTCTTTTTAAATTCTGAATTTAAATCCTGAAACGAGTGTGGGACTTAAACTTGCATTCCCTAGATTATTCAATCAGTAATGTAATCACTAGGCTGCAGTGCCCACACAGTGCCTAGTGAGTAAATCTATAGTGGTCAGTGATGTAATCTTATTAACTGTTAAAAATGAAGCTGTATATTGTGACTGCTTGTGTGATATTTAACTCTGTCTTGCACTGCAGGCAGTGCCTCTGCTGAGGAGATGGTTGCTTTACTTGTTCAAGTGGGACTCTTTGATGCTGCTGTATTCCTGTGTCAGACCTTCAAACTCTCACTGAACCCCATCTTTGAAGGACTCTCCTACAAGTGAGTATTAGGTTATCATTAAGTGCAGTAGACAGTTGAACTCATCCCTCGACTCCATACTGCATGATCTGTACCAGTGGAGCATCATGCCTGAGACTGAATTTGGCACGTCCTGGGTGAAGGGCTCCTCGTACAGTCTGGTGGACACATTGCACTAGTTTGTCCTGAGATAAAAGGATGCTGAGCAACTCTGAGGTGATGATATGTTCTGTCTTGGACTTGCTGCAGGATGATTCTGTCCTGATAGGAGAGAGAGGGATGGAGAGTACAGAAGTGGGATTGTCCCACAGGAGTCTCCGTCATCCTCAAAAATTTCTAAAATTGTCAAACACCGCTCCATCAGTGCAGAGTATAGAGGCACTGTGTGGCGACAGGTGAGGCTGTGAGTGTACTTCACAGGACACGGAGATGGGTGATGGAGAAGGTTTGTCAGTGAGAGTGTCTCAGTGTGGAGGAGGGTGGGGTGCAGTGAGAGTGTCTGAGTACGGGGTGGGGGGACAGTGAGAATATGGGCAGGGTTTTGGAGGCCAGTGAAAGTGTCTCAGTAATGGGGTTTTGTGGGTGGGGGAGGGGAGGTGAGGGACAGTGAGAATGTCTCGTTATCCGGGGCGGGGAGGGGATGCAGTGAGAGTGGCTCAGTACGGGGTGGTGAGTGGGAGTGGTGGTTTGAGGGGAGCAGCGAGAGTGCTTCAGTATGTGGGGGGGCCTGGGGGTGGGGCGGAGCAGTGAACATGCCTCAGTATGGGGTGGGGCAGAGCAGTGAGAATGCCTCAGTATGTGGGGTTTGGGGGTGGGGGGCAGTGAGAGTGCCTCCGTATGGGGTTTTTGGTGGTGGGGGGCAGTGAGCGTGCTTCAGTATGGGGGCGTTTGGGAG